GGACTTTGACTTGCCGAAGACATCAACCGCCACCTTCACTAGTTTTGTAAAATAATTTAATAAATCTGCAAGAAACAGAAATGAAGAGGGATTTAAAAAAAAAAAAAAGGAAGAAAAGGAGGAAGTCCGTTCTAAAGCGAGAAGATTGGGAACGCAGGCCACAACAAGTGAAGAAAAAAAAGAAAAAAAAAAGAAGGAAAAAAGAAGAAAAAAAAAGAAGGGCCTGAAATCTCCCCCACACAATAAAGCCCTGGAGAAAATGAGGAGGAGTGCACGCCCCAAAAGAGGGCCCAAAATCCTTACTTGGGCCCAAAAGAGGACCGGGGACCAGGACGCCGTGGACAGTACCGACGAGAGCCCGAAAGAAATAGAAAAGAGAAGGCCCAAATCTTGCTCCTCATTCCTGCTGCCCCGCAACCTTCAAGACATAGCCACAAAAAAAAAAAAAGGAAAAAAGGTTAAAAAAATAAACTTCAAAAAAGTGCAGGCCCAAAAGAAGGCCCAAAAAAAAGAGGAATTGGGACCAGGAACCTGTGGGACAATGCGCCTCGCTCCACCATTCTCGAAATGTGCAAAATGAGAGTGAATCTTCCGGCGGAACGTGGACAGATACATCGCCACGATTTTTGTCTTTTGTGCATGTCGAGAGTAGTGGAGCAAGGCCCAATGTCGATGAACGTGACACAAATGAAATACAAATGCGCTCCGTCGTGCCCCGCACCCCCCCCCAAGAACCCCCAATAAAGCTGTAGAAGGGCTCCTCCCACAGCTCCCACCCTTCAAAAGATAAAACCTCCAGAGAAGAGGGGGGGGGAGGGGGAGCACAGGCACAAAAGTGGGCCCAAAATAAGAAAAGAGCGGGGACCAGGAAGCTCCCGAAGCTCCGCGACAATGCAGCTGGACCTCGATGAATTGAAACACCAGCGCAGCTGGACCTCGAACAAATGAAACACCAATGCCCCCCCCCTCCCCCCCCCAACACACACACACACCCCTCACCAACCCTGAGAAAGCTGTGGAAGAGCTCCTCGCACAGCTCACATATATATACGAGACGAGACGAGATCGATTCCACTGCTCCATCGCTTCGTGGACGAAATCTTTCGACTTGAAAACCAGAAATAGAATACCAAACTAAAAAAAAAAAAAAACGTTGCACCAAGCACAGGTGTTATTAGCGCCTCGAACTCCCAATAACAGGTACCCCAAAGAACAGGACCAAGGTCCCAATGACCGTTCCCTGTGGGAATTCTCACACAGGACAAAACCGCCTCCCTTGTGCTCCCCACCCCCCCCCAACTGCACATAAGGGGGTTAGTGCTCTTGCAATGTCAAACCACCAGTACCTTCAAAAGTCGCAGAGCTTTAAAAAAAAAAAAAGTCGCGGCGCATTACCCGCCATGACAATGATGAACGGACGGGCTACCGAGGGAGCGCCCAAATTCGTCCGACTAGAAACGCTTCCACTCGGATTTTTCCCGCGCCCGGTGTATGGGCGGAATACGGGTCGTCCACAAGAACAAGTCGCCCAAAGAACAACTCCACGATCCCTGGTCCCAAGAACCGTTCCGTACACGAATCCCTTGGGGGACCAAACACCACCTCCCTTCCCACGCGATCTCTCTCCTTTGCTCGACGTGCTTGTCATCACACATACGCACCTACTTTCTACATGTCTGTCCTCCTCAAAAGCCAGCACATTTCACCACTTCTCCCTCCTAGACTTTGCACCTCTTCTTCTCTTCTTCTTCTCCATCTTCGCTTGCTTCTCCTTCTCCTCCTGCCTGTGCTTCCGTATGCGAATCCCCATGTCGTCGTTGCGCTCGTCGTCCACGTCATCTGCACCTTGTAGACCAACCATAGCTTTCTTCTTCGTCTTCTCCTCCGCCTCCTCCTCCTCCTCCTCCCCACCATCTCCATCTCCATCTGCATCACCAGCGTCATTGCGACGTTCGTCCTTGTCCTCGTCATTGCTATCATGCCGCTCTTCCATGTCCCTCCTGTCTTGCTTCGCGTTGGTAACCGTAGCCGCTTCTTTCCCCGCTGACACGTCCTCCTCCGTTCCTTTGTGCTTCAGACCATGGTGATGATGATGATGATGGACCTCCCTACCCCCCCCCCAACCAAGCTTTACATCATGCCCCTCTAGCTCACCCACAAGTACCCCCTTAGCTGCACCCTTGCCCTCTTCCTTCAGCCGATCCCTGTAGGTGCCGACCTGCAGCTGCTCCTTCTTCTTGGATGCATGTCCTTTCACGGGTTCATGCTGCGTCACATCGAACCAAGTTCCCTCCTCGCGAAAGTCTGTACGCAACACAACATCGGCACGATGGACGGACGTCATAGTCGATCGTGGACGTCACATCGAACCAAGTCCAGCTAACCATACTGGACCAATGCCGATGCCGGCAATAACGTACCTTTTTTTTTTTTTTTTTTTTTTTGATACCAT